TTGGACAGACTTAAATCATTGTGAAAATGTCAATATTACACAAAGCCATCTATAGATACAATGTAATTCCAACCCAGATTTCAACTTCCTTCTTTAATAAATGGAAAAAACTCATCACCAACTTTATATGGAAAGGAAAGAATCCCGGGATAGGCACAACACGACTTAAGAAGAAGAAAAAGTAGGAGGTCTCTTACTCCCTAACCTTCAAATCTACTACACATGACCCATTTGTACCTTACAAATCTGGCTAAACCAGAGAACACACATTGGTACAGAGTAAGAGCTCTCAACACATAGAATTCAGCAAAGATAAACCCCCAAGGAACAGCAGTGGGAATACCGATATCATGAGTAGGGGCATAGTCAGGGAGGGGGAAGAGTGAGAAAGGGGGAACCCATCACAAGATTGTATATATAGCCCCTCCAAAGGGGGCAAAAAACCCAGAAATGTGGATAGAGAGAGACAATGGACAGTCCAAGATATAAAATAATAACAACAATATATAATTGATTAAGGATTCATAAGGATGAAAGGGGAGGGGAGGGAGGGAAAGAAAGAGGAGCTTATACTAAGGGCTCAAGTAGAAAATGTTTTGGAAATGATGATGGCAACATATGTACAAATATGCTTGATACAACTGATGTATGGAATGTTTTAAGAGCTATAAGAGCCCCCAATAAAATGACATTAATAAAAAAAAGAGCAAAAAGAGAACCCACACATTGGGAAAAATACATTTGGCAATGATATACTGGCCAAGGGAACCATCTCTAAAATCTGAAGTGGTATAGAAAACGATACCAGTTCAACAAGAAAAAGTGAATAATTCAATTAAAAATAGGCAGAAGATATGAATATACAGTTCACCAAAGACTGCAGAAGTCCAACACACAAAGGAATAATCCTCCTAATCATTAGCCATTAGAGATGAAAATCAGAACAAAGATGAGGTACCACTTTACATTACCAATGATAGCAAAATTCAAAACAGCAGGAAACAATGTTGGAGGGGTGTGGAAAGACTGAAACCCTCATACTAGGGGTACTATAAAACCACACAACCACTGTGGGAAGTAAGTGGTCTACTGATGTAAGCATCAACTGAGAATACCAATCCTTCTAGTCATTATATATCCTAAAGAAATATGGAACAAAGCAGAAGTAGATATATGCACACATACCACCACTATTCACACCAGTGGAAAAACGGTTAAATAAACTCTGGTGGTGGTGGTGAGGGGTGGTGGTGTTAGGTGCCATCAAGTGAGTTCCAACCCATAGCGACCTTACATGCACAACAGAATGAAACACTGCCCGGTCCCACACCATCCTCACAATTGTTCCTCTGTGTGCTTGAGTCCACCGTGGTAGCCACTACAGTGTCAAACACTGTGCACAGTTTTGAAACTCTGGTCCATACACAATGGAATCAATACTAAGCATTGCTAAAGAATAATGACGAAACTGTGAAATACCTCATGACACACATTACTCTGGAGAACATTATGCTGAGTTAATCACAAAAGAAAAATCATTACATTGTTATAATAGAAAGCAAAAGACAAAACAACAAGATAAAGAATTTTATACCAAAAGAAATAGATGTTGATTGCTACCAGGGGTGGGAGGTGAAGGGAGAGAAGTGGAAGCAATAAACTAGAAGGCGGACAGGTGTGAACCTCAGTGAAGGGAGAACAAAATATCCTACCAGAGGGAGAGAGGTAAACAAGGGGATGTGGTGGGCAGGACAAAGTATTCGGAGGTTAAGTAAGTTATGCTTACAAATACAATACAAATCCACAATAAAAAGATTGAAAAAAAGTATAAAGATTTGAAGGATTACAATCTTTCTAACAAGAAGATTACATTTTATTGCAGTTAAGCAAAAACAAATGAGGAAAAGAAAATCTAAAGGAGATTCAGAAGTCTGAAAAATTCTTTATCTGATTTTACTGGTTGAAATATTAGCTGTGTAATTTTTCATAAGTGATGGAATTTTATTTTATAATTCTAAATTATGCTGCCAATCAAAGAAAATATTAAACCTAACACAGGATCAAATGCTAAGAGAGATGGAACATATAAGGCAACTTGGAGAAAAACAATGATAAACGTGCTGTATTTAGAAATTCTTTGATTACTTGATATCCATTCTTGAAACAAAAGGTCAAAATATTAGATCATACTAGTCACAAAATATCATTAGGAATATCATTAGGAAAACAAAGATAAACTACTTGAATGACAATGAAAACAATTCTGGTATACTCTTAAATATTTCTAAAAAGAAATGTCCTCGTCTTCTCTACTTTCACTAGCACTGAACAGCCTGTATCTGAGCTTCATTTGTAAATTTTGGTAAGGCAGCCAGTGGGAACCAAAAACATACTCAGGGAATAAAGAAGGATCACCGGATCAGATTGGAAAGGAAGCCATGCACTAGATGAATGATATTTTTAGCGGAACAGAATGGCCTTAAAAGAAGTCTTGAAACAAAAATTAAAAGTATAAATGCTACTATAAAAGTAAAACACAGATGTAAGCCAGCAGGTGTGTGACGTGGTGCAAAGATCTAGACATGCAAATAAGAACGGGAAAAAGCATGGGGATCAAATGCTACTTAGAAGATATAACCCAAAGCCAGAGGTACAATCTTGGACGTGTCATTACCAAAGCCTACGCAAAAGCAAAGGTAGCAGGCTTTATTTACCACCTATCACGAGGACATTGAGAAGAGTTCCTCTGTGGAAAATCACAGAGATCTCTGCAAGTTAAGAAACTTCAAATTAAAGTTCCCGGTAAACTGGATAAGACTGAAGAAATTAAGAACAATCACCTGCATGTGTCTGTATGTGCAAAACAATCTCAGAAATTAGAACTATCATAACCAAGAGTATTTAGTGTTTTCACCTCCAAACAATCTAAGGAAGCAAGTCTTATCAACATTTTCACTGTTTATTTTATTTTCAGTAATGAGTTCACTATTTCAGAGCCCATTTACCTGAAGACAGTTCTATATGGTGAGTAAACAAGGGAAAGAAATCAAGTCACAATGTAGGCTAATGTGTGAAATAAATAAACACTACCCTAAAACAAAAGACAAATAATAGAGGAAAATATGAAAACTTTATCTTTTTCAGGCAAACATAAACTACTGAAGGATTTTTTTAAATACAAAACATTGAATGCCAATAAATGACTGAAATTTAGAAAGGAATTAAAAGTTGTTTTTAGCAACATTGATGGGAGAAGAGTTGGAAGTGGAGATGTAGCTATGTGTCATAATCCCTTATTATAGACCCTGGCTTCTATGCTTGTGGTTATAATCCCATTTGGAGGGGAGCTCTCTGCTGTGCTATTGCACAGGAAGAATGTGAGTTACTCGAGGGTGTGAACCCTGTTTCACTGGGGACATGGCTGGCGGAATGACAAAATTCCCACCTGCAGCAAAATCATTCTTCCAACAGCCATCTCCGAAGCACAGAGAAATCCTCGGCCATAAAGAAAATGTATTAGTATTACTCAGCAAATGCTAGGGGACACTATTGTAGTTGATAAGTGCTGTCAAGTTGCTTCTGACTCACAGCAACCCTACGTATCATAAAAGGAAATGCTGCCAGGTCCTCCTGTGCCGTCTCACATTGTCCTTCTGCTTGAACCTATTGCTGAAGCCACGGTGTTAACCCATCTCCTTGAGGACCTTCCTCTTTTTCGCTGTCCCTCTACTTTACCAAGCATGATGTCCTTCTCCAAGGAATGGTCTCTCCTGACAACATGCCCAAAGTAGGTGACATAAAGACTTGCTATCCTTGCCTGTAAGGAGTACTATGGCTGTATTTCTTTCAAGACAGACTTGGCAGTCCATAGTACTTTTAACATTCTTTGCCAGCACTGTAATTCAAATGCATCAATTCTTCAGTCTTCCTTATTTAATGTCCAATTTTCACATGCATATGAAACAACTGAAATACCATGGCTTGGTCTGAGGACACACACCTTAGTCCTCAGAATAACATCCTTCTTTTTCAGCACTTCAAAGAGGTCTTGTGCAGCAGATTTACCCAATGCATTGTGTCATCTGATCTCCTGACTTGCTTCTATGAAAATTAATTGAGAATACAAGCAAGATGAAATCTTTAACAAACGTCAATCTTCTCTCTACTTGTCATAATGTTACCCAGTGGTCCAGTTGTGAGGATTTTTCTTTCTTTACATTGAGTTGTGATCCAAACTGAAGTCTACAATCTGTGATCATCATCAGCAAGTGCTTTAAGTTTTCCTTACTTTCAGCAAGGATGTGCCATCTGCTATCATAGACGGTTAATTAGCCATCCTCCAATCCTGATGCCACATTCTTCTTCATACAATCCAGCTTCTCTGATTATGTGCTCATCATCAGCAAGTGCTTTAAGTTTTCCTTACTTTCAGCAAGGATGTGCCATCTGCTATCATAGATGGTTAATTAGCCATCCTCCAATCCTGATGCCACATTCTTCTTCATACAATCCAGCTTCTCTGATTATGTGCTCAGTGTACAGAGTGAACAAATACGGTAAAAGGACGACACACCCCCTTCCTGATTGAAAAATGGGTAAGATACAGTTTCTACTCGGAACACAGTCTAAACCAGGGATTCTCAACCTTCCTAATGCAGTGACTCTGTATTCACATTTCTCAAGTGGTTTAAAGCCCCAAGTCCAGCCAGTGACTGCTACTTAAGTTACCTGATTCCATTTATACTGATAGATGGTGGTACCTTTTCTACATCCTTTTGTTACTCTTGACAACAAACATGTCACAACTCCGCAAAAGGTTAGATAGAGCTTATTCATAATTGTTTTTAAAATGCAGAATTATAAATTAAGCCAAAAACAATGAAGTGATTCTAAATGCATAAAAGAAACACACGCATATACAACTTGAGAGTAACATGAAAATCCAAATTATAAAATGGAAGACTTTGAAACAAAACAAAATAAAAATATTGTAGCATTACCTTTTTGTGGGCACAGGAACCAGTATCATGTAGCACTGCCACTCTGAATGGAGGCCACCACGTGTGAAATTCTTTCACCCACTGATGCATCACTGTTGTTGGACAGACAATTATAGTTGGACCCAAACCCTGGAACCTGTACCCAAAATATTCAAGAAGAAAGTACAACCATGAAAATAGTATACTGAGTAATCACACACTACCTCCAACCCACCCAAATCTTAACAGTTTTAAAAAGAAATCGCATGCTATGGAAATTTATTGATATTTCCTTTTTTAAGAAAAGGCTTTTAAGGCTAAAACCCAGTAAGTGAATGCTCTAAAATCCCAATCATTCATCTATTATAGATGCAGGAATTCAGAGAAAGCTCCAGGGCATTAAAAGGTAACAGCATCTATGCTAAAGAAAAGGAAAAAACATTTTTAGAGAAGTGAGTATAAAGTCTATTTCCACATAAGTGAACAAGGGGTCTTAAATAGGTTTGAAGCTTTATAGTCAACCTGAGTTTTACCCATAGAATTTTGATCTTCACAATCCTAGGCAGTTTCCCTAGGATAATAACCCTAGGATAATTTCCTGTGTGCAGGGCTCTGGAGAGGAATGTGTCTAATAGAATAGAGCTACAGGTGGTGAGCAATGATTACAGCTTATTCCTCTCCCTCCAGTCTGCTCTCCAGCTACACTATGCTGTGGCTGTTCCTCACGTGATGAAAACTCAGTGGATGGGCTGAAATCCCCTTAACTGGTATCTGCTGGAAGGTCCACATAGATAGAGAGTGCCAACCGGCACTATTCCCATGGCCTAGGCATACATGGCAAAAAAGCTGTTACCAGTTGATCATGAGAGCCCAAAGCAAAGACTTGGGTATCAGAATATACACTGTAGCATTATTTCTACTATAGAAAGAATGGACACTACTTCTATGTCCATATTAAATAAGCAAAGGGAAGAATAAACTGTGCCATCGCTTAAGTACAGGCTACCAGGGGCACTGCCTCAGTCAGGATCACATTCACTGTATGACCTGGGACACACTATTTAACCTTTCTGAACTTTCTCATCTTCAGATATGGAAGCAATGCACCTATTACAAGCTTATTGTGAATTATTAAATCATTTAATATCTATAAAGTGCTTAGAACAATGCCTAGCATATAGTAAATGCCAGGTAATAGTTTGATAAATAGGATAGCATATCATACAACCACTAAAAACTGGGTTTGATGAGTTATTTAATGACATGAAAAAATGCTCATCAGTTTAAACAAAAACAATGATTTATGGAATTACCCATATTCATAGACACACAGGTAGATCAGCACATGTTCTCACATCCATGTGTCCCCTGGTTCTTTCCTAACAGAGGTATATACTTGTGCAGTACCCCTACGTCCCTCCAGTAAACGTGAGCTTTATGAACTGAGGAGGGTAGATGTGAATATTGTTTCACCTAAAACCTTCTGGTGATTCCCATTCTCCTAGAAACCATTACCAGTCAACAAAGCTGAGAGTAAGGACTTACATTCTTGTGTTCTGCTGCATGCGAACAGGGAAACAATATAACCCAATGGCCACTGGGCAGTGGGTCTACAATGGCAAGATGTGGCCACTAGGGGAAATTAAAATACTTAAGACTTAATTTTATCACTGAACTACTAATCATGTTGCTCCTATAACTCACCCTTTCTGTTAGCTTTTCAGATTTATCATACATTTCATTTAACCTAATTTGAGGCCAGCTTTCATCCACCTGCAGCCAAAGTATCCCAAGACATTATACCCCATAGGTACATATCTAATCTCATTCTTCCCCCCTTTCCTCCTATTACAACAGAACTAGTTTCTCTTCTTGTGTGAGACCAATTCTGTTAGCAAGGTTCACTGCACCCATGCCTCCACTACATCAGTGTTCCAATGTCCTCTAACCACTTTTTCTTCAAGTTTGCTGAGGGTTAAATGCTATTGCAGAGTTGAAAATTAGCCAGAAGCCAAAGTTATCAGTGGGAGCTGGAAGCTGACACACTAAGCTCACGCTACAATCAGCAACTGGGAACCAAGACTGACTGAGACAGCCACAGCTCACCCAAGCTCGCTCTCTCTCTCTCTCTCTCTCTCACATTCTGGAGCAGCTACTGGCACTATTTAAATTAGCTTGCTTCCCCATCTTCTACCATTTATGGCCAGTAAGTATATTGAATGTGTGAAATTAAATGTGCACATGCTCTTCCACGGTTCATTCTTTCCCTATATTATCTTATTAACGCCCAAAGCTTCATCATTGTTGTTCAGTGACGTCGACTCAGCTCCAACTCATGGTGAACAAAACATTGATCTGGCCTGTGCCATCATCCTTTTCTGAACTCCCCGCTAACCACATGCCCAAGCATCTGCCAGCTAAAAGGCAACACACATCACCCTCCCCACTCCTTGCACCCCGTGTTCCTAGTCCAATGAACAGACTTACCACCCATTCTCCAGGTCCCCAGACTAGAAATCTGAGCCTCCCCCTCTTGATCTCTGCTGCATCAGATCCCTGCCTACCTAGGTCATGGTGCTTCTACCTCCTAATGCTCTCCCAGTCACCCGGGCCTCTACACCTATACTATGACCACGTCTATTGTCTTTCACCTGAATTTCTGCAACTTTCTAGCACAATTGTTAAGAAATTAAAAAATCTGAATGTCTCATCCTTTTGTTTAAAAACCCCTCGTGGTCTTGGGACAGTCTAAACCTGTTAGCCTAACCTATGAAACCATGAGCTTCCTGCTTCTGCTCCCTAGTCTTTTATCTCTCATTCCATTAACCTTACCACTTGCACCCACAAGTCAGCACCCCACCAACTCAAATTTCTGTTCGTTTTTAGAGGGTGAATATATCCCCAGCTTCTACTTTTTTGCTTTGTTCTATTTGATCTCTTATCCTAGCCAACTTCTATGCATTCACCCTTCAGATATTGACAGGGATGCACATCCTTCACAGAGCCTTCGTCTCTTTCTTTCCAGGAAGGCTAAGGCTCCTTCTTAGTACATCCATCTAGCTAGTGCCCTATAGAGTTGATATATCATTCAGCACCCTTATTTTAATTGTTTATATCCCTTACAAGCCCCTTAAGGGCAGAGAAAATTTATCCTTTGATCTCAATGCTTAATCCAAAGTACCTGAAATATTAAAATTAATCTTCTGCATAATGAACAGTAATCTGTAATTCTAATGAGAAAAATAGAAATTTTAGGCAAGCCAGAGAAGGCTGACCCTTGTTCTATGCCCCAAGGGATGCTATTCCCATGTGTTGGTGACTCCAACATGAGCAAATGCCTCCACCTATGCCTAGACTCTCTCTGCTCCTGGCCTATAGTCGGAGCCATTCCACTTTGCTTACTAGGAGGAATCCAGACAACAAAAAGCCAGGGACTACAGTGGATGATTGTATCTTCATGTAGAAATTCCACGCCATGATTCTCACCAAGAAGTGTGGAATACACTGACATGGTCCTATGCAGGTACTACCTCACAGTTCCTGGACATAGCAGTGGCTCAGCCCTACCCCAATATGAAATATTCATGTCTAAAAAGGATTAAATGGATTAGTTTTTCTATGACCTCTAAGGGGAATAAAGTTATCTTTAATATGTACTTAGTGGATATTAAGAAACAACCAACCAAAAGCTGCTCTACAAGTATTTTTAAAAGTAAAAAAACCAAAAAACATAAACTCACTCAAAATAAGCATAAATACAAATACACCTATTCCTCATTTACTGACATATTTAGGCTTTAAAGCTTGCTATGGGAAAATGGAGGATGACCACATCAGATCACCAAATGACAAGGCGACTATATCTGCCACATTAAACTATTAAACAATTGCCACATTAAACAATTGTCAAACCACTGAGAATCATGGCTCAGCCAAACAGACACACAACCTTAACCATCACAGCCAGAGTTACTCGTGCTTGTCAGATGTATGCCATTACTGGGCAAATAATTTGGACAGTACATTTTTTACCACAGCATTCAATACAAAATGTAGGATAATTAAGTAGTCAATAATGAGGAATAGGTGTATGAGTTTTCAGGTTATATAGCATTTCTTTTCTCTGTTTTAGCTTACTTTCTATAATCTGCCACGGGGATGATTTTGTCATTTAAGGTCAGTATGTCATTATGCCTAAGCATCTATCATTATACCCGCAGATGTTTGGTCACTCTCCCTCTAATATAATAAAAATGGACATTTTCACATTGATTTGAATTTTAGAAATACTGCTCTTAGGTCACAGCAGGGGCAATCAAGTCCATTAACTGTCTCATACACAGAAGCACCTCTTCCCTCCCCTTAGGACCAGGGAGATAAGTACAAACAATGATGATGATCATTTACTAAACTGGCTACAATTTCTTTCACCTTTGATTATCACTGACCACCTAATGAAGCTAATACCTTCATGGTCACACAATTCAATCTGCAGAACGGAAATTTGCTCTCTAAACCCTAGAATTTAGCAGGAATTACAAAGTAAAATATTTACCTTTGAAAGTTAATGAACTTTTTCAGGCCACTGATTCATAATTAGAAATTTATTAAACGATATCTTAGATGGTGAAGCACTAACTGAAGTTTGAAAGGTAAGTAATTTATTCCCTTTCCATCAAAAGATTCAGAGGCTCTCTCAACAAAATAATGCAACCCTGGTGGGTGGCACAATGGTTAAATTAAGCACTTGGCTACTAACTATAAGGTCAGTAGTTCAAACCCACCAGCTGCTCTGTGAGAGAAATGACCTGAGTTTCCTTCAATAAAGCCTAGGAAATCCTATGGAGCAGTTCTGCTCTGTCATATAAGGTCACCAGGAGTTGAAATTGACTTGACACACCAACTATAGCAATATAATATGTATGGTAGCATATTAACTATCAACTGGGAACTCAAAAACCAGCTTTTATTAGCCACAAGTACTATGCGTCTAGGAACCCCGGGGCAGTGCAAATGGTTAAGTGCTCTGTGCTAACCAAAAGGCTGAATTTACCCAAAGGCACAAAGACCTAGTGATCTACTTCTGAAAATTCAACCACTGAAACGCTATGGAGCACAGTTCTTTTGCTACACACATGGGGTCGCCATCAGTCAGAAATGATGGCAACCAGTCTTTAATATGATTGGGCCTCTTTTAAACAGGAGCCTTGGTGGCACAGTGGTTACGTGATGGGCTGCTAACTGCAACTGGGAACCACCATCCACTCCTTGTGGACAAGGACAAGCGTTCTACTCCTGTAAAGAATTACAATTTCAGAAACTCACTGGGGCAGTTGTACTTTGTCCTATAGGATCACTATGCAATGGCAGGGAGGGTGAGCCTCCTTTTATAACAAACGCATTTTTCTTTAGGATAGAAACATAAAATAGTTATGAAAATGTTACAAAATTCACTCTGGCACGTTTAAAGAGAGAAACTAAGTTCCTTAGTAGATCTTGGTATACTGCTAGTCTTTCTACCAATACTACTTTAATAAAGATGATCTGGGCTATAATCCAACATGCCACACTATTTCATTACAGAAAAGAGGATGTGAGCATTGATAGTTAATTGATTACAGCTGCTGCCCATTATTAGCCCTGACTTCACTCCTAGCAGGATTGCCACTACTCAAGAGAGTATGTTTTAATTTTTAGATCAAAAATACACTGCAGGGATGGCTTTAGTACAGTTCAGAGAATAAAGTATTACATTTCATAACAGGAAAAGAAGAAAAAAGATGGGAAATAAGAAAATCCCAGAAATCATTTAAAGAAAAAAAGACAGTCCCCGAAATCATATGGAGTGGCTTGGGGCATTTCAGTTATCAAACAACAATAAGCAAACAAACAAAACAAAAAACCCAGTAGAGTCACAGAAACCAAGCCAACCGAAGCTCTATTCTGAATAGAGCAAGTATTTTCAAGTTACAGAATGACAGCCATAAATAAGGAAACAAAATACTCATATCCAATTCAGACTTTTCCTTGGGTTTGCAATGCTTTCATGTGTTCTAGACAAAATATAACTTTCGTACATGAAGAAAAACCCATGCTTCTATACAACTCTTTTGTAAATAACAAGAAATATTTAAAGTTATCCAAATGCTTTTCCACCTCATATCTATAAAAATACAACTGGGATTTTTAAAATATTTGAAAAATCTTTCATGAATGTGCTGATCTTGATCTGCTAAATTAATGAAAAGGTAAGGAATAAAAACAAAGAACTGACCTCTGAGGACTACAAGGTTCCCGACTCCTAATTTAAGTTTAGATTCGGCTCCCAAAGAGTAGGATCCCAATTTGCTGACTCAACTACAGAAACATGGACATTATCTCAAAAGTGTCTCCTAACTAAATCTACTCAGTGGTTAAGGTTTCTACAACACAACAGTGTGGTAAATAGCTTGCTGTTACTTCTTATATCACCCCATTGTAACCCAAGGAATTGTTGATATCTGGCTTAAAAAGAAACGGTCTAGATAATTTAGTCAGTAACATTTTCTACGAAAACTGATGTACAGAAATAGACACCTTCAACACGGAGAACCTCACAGTAATTCAATATAAAGCATTTCAGTGCAATAATGACTTAACCCAGATTTAATAAATGCTTATTATTTAGGGATACTAAAGTCCTAATAGTTTATTCACATTTTAAAAGAAAACAGCGATTAAAATTTAAGCCTAGTTTTCTCTCTTTTTTTTTTCGAACAGCCATTTCTGCTTTGGCTTTAAAATTTTATAAATTTCTCAAATATTGTAGAGGGGTGTAAAAATCATACTGAAGAGCCTATTTTAGAAAATAACCTCATTTAAAAAAGAAAAGGCTATACACGCCAAAATGAGTACTGATTACAAAAGAAATTAAAGAGAATGACTCTCCCAAAGCTCCAACTTTCACCATGAATAGACTTTGCACTTATGTAATACTCACCTGGTCTCTTGCCAGAACAAATATTTTAATGTAAAATTTAATAAATGGAAAAGTTATTATATCTAATTTAAAATTCCATATTGTGTAATCTATTGATATTAACATGATTTGGTTTGTAAACAATCCATTGGTAAAAGCTAACCTTAGACATTGTATTGACCCAAAATATCTAGTGGGGCTCATCTGCAAAATGAAGCATCAATGCTTGGAATTCATTAAAAGTGTTACATGTTTAATTTCTCCTGCCCTACAGCTCCATTGTCTCGTAAAAATTTTCCTTTGATGTCCCCCACTAAAAGAATTAAAGGAATATTGTAATTGAAATGTCATCAATAATTCACAAGACCCTCCTCCACAGCAATACATCTGATGCAATATTAATTGAGCTCCACAGACTGACAGTCTGCAGAGGAGCACTTGCCTGTAATTTGAACCACGAGTCCTAATCTTGCTGTAGCTCAGACCTGCCAAGAAGGCAATTATCTGGATGGTCTTGCCCAATCCCATTTCGTCTCCCAGAATTCCTCCTACCTGCTGGCAGTGCAATTCCCACAGCCACCTAACACCTGTCTGCTGGTACCTACAACAAACACCAACAAAGAAAAAAGAAAATAGCAAATGTTGGATAACACATAACAGAAAGTACTCATGAATTAATCATTTGTCTAGGTTCTAGTTCCAGTCCTAGCAACAAGCCGGATGTGTGTTTTACATGAGTATTATATTTATAAGGTCATACATTTTTGATCACCTAGGCATAAAATCACAAATTTTTCTTTACAGAGTGTTAACACGTTTCTAATTAAACTGATGGATAGGGTAGTTAGGGGGCTATTTAATTTCTTTTTCAACATTAGAAATAGCTTAGTGAAGTTATTATCTTCTATTCACTATCTTTCTGAGGAAAAGGACAAGTAATTTTAGTACGTAAAGTTGCATTAATCTTTCCACAAAAAGGAGGCATTAATGTTTATTTTTGCAATCTGACTAGTATCAAAATAGCAAGACAGAAGACACTGCAATTTACAGCTTATACTGTTGAAAAGCCACTTCAAAATCATATTACTCTTACATAAGAAAAATTAAGTTTTAAGGTTATAAACCAATTGAAAGAAGCAATATCAAAATTAGTGCATAACCAAAGATTGTTATAGTACAGATACAAAAACGAAGTGTTTAAAGACAATGAAATAAAGGCTACGGAAGGCCTTTGAAAGAGTAATCTGGAAAAGGCCTTCTAAATATTTTAAATCAAAACTTGATTATAATTTTGTCATAAATACAAAAAGATCTGAGTGATCAACATTTTAAATAAGGACTTATAGAAATTATATATTTCCCCTCCTTAAGAACAGGTAACATAGAAGCTAGTACTTTCCATTCTCCACTCAAAACATCTTTCTTTTATAACCTACAAGAAAATAAAAAGGAGTACGTACTGAAAAACCATTTTTCAAAGGCAAAGGGGGAAGAGTTAGCATCATGAAATAATATGATTTATTAGCCATTTTAACAAAAAATATCTAAGATGAGATATACTTAAAATACAATGAAAGCTAAACGATTATTTTTATTTAAGACAAGTCTGAACATTTGTTGTTTTATCTTTGAACACAAAGTTATCTGTTCCGTGGCATATATTCTCAAAGGTTCATTTTGGATTTCAGATCATATTGAACTAGTTTTACTTGATCTCCTTTCTCAGTAAAGATGCTATAATTAATACCCCCTACCCTCTATATTTGAAAATCAATTTTGAAAGTCTGACTCTATCTACTGCCATTAAATGAGAATTTGCTGCTTATTAAATCTGCTAAGTATAATTTACATGGTGGGTATGCAAGTTGGAGTACAGGATTGAAAATCAAAACAAAATTATGTCCAGTATGTATATAGGATCATTAATTCAGGGATGGCAGATTTTATCAGTATGTGGTATGTAGCCAGAGAATAACGGCTACCATGTAGGAGGCAACTGCCAGGAGGCACTAGGCCAAGTGCTTTGGATATAGCCTCACAACAACCCTAAAGAGAGATTGTCAGCCCGTTTTATACTTAAGGAAAGGAAAATTCAAAAGAATTTAAGTACCCTGCCAAAAGTCATACTGACAGAAAAAATGAACCAGTTAGAATTCAAACCCTAACCAGCCCTATTCCAAAGTTTACTTTGGAGATAAGCTAGACCAGTGGTTCTCAGTCAGGGGAAATTCTCCTCTCTTATAATGTATTTTGCAATGTCTGGAGACATTTTTGTTTGTTAAAAAATGGGAGGGGGTACACTGATGTGGGAGCCGATGAAAAGTTTAGACTGTGGAATACAAAGATCTGAAATAACTTGGTCTGCTGTGTGTTCTACCACATCCATGGATATATTTGCAAGATAGGTAAATACACATATATAAATGTCCTCATTATGTTTTTTAAAAACTTCATTTGTCATAAAAACATGTCAACATGTTTCTAATTTGCAGATGTAAACATTTCATAAATAGATTAATATCAATCTAGTAGTATTTGATACTATAATATTTTTCTTTTATCTTTAAGATGTACTTATTATAACTATGAGGTAGAAAAAAATAAGCAGAACAGAATTGTCATATACTGGGCAGACGCCACAGATGCTGTTCCCTACAACAAAAAATTATCTGGCTTAAAATGTCAAATGTGTGAGGATGAGAAACTCTGCCCTCGAACAAATGCAGGTTCTTAAACGGGCTACTCTGCAATCTTGGCTTTGGAAAAATACATACTTTACAAAGCTTTCCAAATGGCTTTAAGGTACTATCAGTTTCCAGAATCACTACATTCTAGGCAAGTGACATCCATTCCCTGAGGTTCAGAACAACAGTGGTATCAGCTCCTCTGGGTAGAGCCCCAAACCCCCAGAAAACAGCCCTAGAGGTTCCTGAGACTGAATCTTTACAGGAGTGTTAAGTCTCATCTTTTCCTGCACAGTAGATGGTGGTTTCGAATTGCTGATCTTACGGTTAGCAACCCAATGCATAACTCACTAAGCCACCAGGACTCCATGCAAGAAATGACTTATTTTATACTTTAGTGGCAAGTGTCTAGCGGTAACAAACACTGATGCAAGAGAACAATGACTATAAAGGCTGTGTCAACTTGGCTAGGGTATGATGCGCAGTTATTTGGCAGTTACGCAGTTATGTAATTTGGCAGCTATTAAATGATAAAATATAGCAGTCAAATAATTATGTAACTTGGCAGATGTGTAATGATATACTCATCCTACATTTTGTGATCTAATGTGCTCATCCTCCATTTTCACACAATACTGATTCTCATATAATGAACTGGTCTTTTGAACCTAAGCATGTTGTTAAGTGAGTATGTCTGCTACATAACACTGTAAGTCATATCACTAAATGGAAAACTCCAACAGGGACACTGTACAAAGGTGGGAAATGATGGCCTTTTTTTCCCATCCACGACACAAGATGGTTCAGAGGCTATAATATAAAGAAATTCATGTGCATATTAAACCTTCCAGACATACTGTTAGGTATGCCTCCTAAACGGAGTCATTAGGGAATCTGGATTCCAGTTTTGACGTTGCCACTGAGTGGCTGACCTTATTGCTTTCATCTCCTAGTAAGACACACAATAGAACAAAGACATGGCTTAAACTAAAATGGGGTTTAGAATCTAATTTTCAGAACCTTTGGGACACAGATTTAAAAAATCACTCCTTAAGAAAACGCAGATTCTTACAAGCTATTTTACAATAGTAAAGCTATCATTGAACTCTACTACTCTCATCACACAACCAAATAACCATGGATAGCTGTATAACTTTGCATTGTCACATTAATCCAAGATTATGTTTTCTATTATAACTAAAAGTAAAGCCAACTGATTGAAGTTTGTTACTCAACTGTTTAATTATGAAAAAGAATGAATTTTCTGGATAAACTTTCAATATAGAATTTTAAACATTAAACATTGTCTTGCAGAAAATAGCACATAAATAGATCATTTTTACCTTCTAACTCCCTTGAGTACAACTACACTGTTCATTTAATTCCAAAGTGTGGTTATTACAGTAAAAATGCATTTACAGTTTAAAATTAAATTGGCTTAGGTAAATACTAATCACAAAATGAAAATAGCAATCCTATTAATTTTTGATATAGCAGAATAAATCAGTTTTATAATACTTATAAATATTTAAAATGGTTTTTAGACATGAAAACAACTTCCAGGAAGGAACAATTAAGATTAAATAAAAAAATCAAAAACATGCATTTGTAGTAACTCAACAACAACAACTCATTGTCATTGAGTCAATGCTGACCCATAGCAACCCTATAGGACAGGGTAGAAGTGCCTCTATGGGTTCCCAAAACTGTAAGTCTTAACAGAAGCAGAAAGCCTCATCTTTCTCTCTAGGAACCACTGGTAGTTTTGAACTGCTAACCTTGCGGTTAGCAGCCCAACTCGTAACCATTATACAACCAGGGAACCTTTTTGTATTTACAAAAAGGTTAACATACTGAATTCCACCTACTCTTAGTAAGCAATGGTTGGTTCTATTAACCGTGAATCTTCTTTGTGAAAAATATTTGACATTTAAACAAAAATACACATTCCACTTGACTTTTGAGGATATTTGACAAATCACTTACTATATGTGTAGAACTATCTTGTCCTCGCTAAATTAACTTAATCTGTAATTTGAGTATTCCTTTCACTAGTACAAGACTGATTCTATTTGGACTGTTTCTTAAGAAGAAATCACTTTAGAGAAGATGAAAGCATTGCCAATAAATGTTGTCTTTATTTACTTTTCATAATTAATTTTCATCTGGGAGAAGCAATTAAAAAAACAGCCACCTCTCTGGGCTATAAAATGAACAGTCTGCAAGATTCTAACTTGAATTTCTAGGCAGTTCTGCTCTGCTATAGCAATCCAATAAGTCACTCCTATGTTTAGGACTCAACTTTCCTATATGCTTAGTAGAATAAAATAATTACCCACTACCACAACCTCGCTACCCAGACAAAATTTAAAACTATAAAATAAGCTCTTTTAGAGGTAACAGAAAAACATGCCATTTTTAAGTAGACATTGCACTACCCTAGAATATGGCTGAGAGCTGTAGCGCAAAAGAAATCTGTATCCGAATCCCAACCACCAACTGATAATAGAAGAGACAGAAGCTACTTAATAGCTTAACTTCCCATACACATGTAAGACGGTAGGTTTCCTAAAGCATCTTGTTAAGTAAATCCCATGAGTGACACAACTGAAAATGTTCTTCAGTGTTTACATTCATCGCTGAAAACTCATCAGCTCAGGAATACACTACAAACACACCATCTACCAGGAAACCTCGTTTCTACTACGCTTGCCACTTGACAATTGAAACATAGTTTAAAATAGCAATTTAATCTTGAATGTGTTTGAATATATCCTCATTTTTTGATATTAGAACATTTACATAAAATATTAAGATACACATTTGGTCAGTTCAAAAGTATTAAAACCTTAGGTACTCTATAAGGCAACTAGAAAATAATCACCCCAATTGTTTGTTTTTAATTTTCATGTGAAAGTTAAAAGTTTCTCCAATATTGGCTTTATTATTAGTCTGATTTATCAATCAGAGGTTGGTCCCACAAATTACAACCAACAAAGTTCAAATATAGATGCTTTTTAAAAGTATATTGTTCTTAGTCAACTGAAATAAGTCCATATAGATTCATCAGTTGAAAAACATACCCAATACACTTTAATCAATCTATTACCATCTAATTTTAATGAACCATGTGGTTAATTTGTCATTTCACAGTGTCTTTATTTGCAATAAATTGTTGCAAGTACCTTAAAGTAACTATTGTGCATTCCTAAAACATTAAGTTGTACATAAAAGTTTGATGACTAGCACACAGACCAGAGCACATAATACGTACTTAAAGAGCCTTCTGAACAGGAAACCCGGCATTCTGAAACCTTCATCAAATTCAGCGTCACTGTCCTCAGAACTGTCTTCTAGCTTTAGAGACGGCTCTTTTTCTTGTAGTCTCAGTTTATTCCATTTCCTTACATGAAAATGAAAATGTTTCAATGTTTTAGTCACAAAAGATTTAAAAAATTTTTAATTTTAAAAAAGGAAAAATAAAATGTCTCTCAGGTTTCAGCTGCCATCATTAACCCAAACACTGATATTCAGAGAAGGAAAGCAATGATCATTTCCTTCCTTTTTTATTCAATTCTTATTTTAATCATCAGAGCTACTCTAGGAATATTTCTGTAAGGCCTCATCGTATTATCAAAACCACTTGTTTCTCTTCTGGCATAGCCTAAGGGGAATTTTTTCTAGGTCTAAGATATATGAGCTGAGTTCTATAACAAAAAGCGCCAGTGTTTCCATATAATTAAATATCTCCAAAATGACAAGAGTGCAACAAAAAGTAACTTCACTTACTACTTACCGTTTCTGTGCTAAAGATATGATAGTAATGGCATAAATAATAATTTGGTCAAAACTGCTATAGATAAGACTCGCATATTGATTACTTAATTGGTACATAGTATAAAAGTAATGATATTATACTACTTAGAAAAAATGTGTTTAAGTTAAGAATTTGGTAATCTGCTTATCAGATATAAAATAAGATGAACATTTATATTTTAGAAAAATAAAACAATGTAATTTTAACAGGAGAATGATAATAATTTAAAGATCTGAAAGACTTAGCAACAATCCAAGACTGCTGAGAAAGTAGTCATTTCACTAGAGCAATTTATAAAATCATAAACATCAACTCTTTTTCAGCATGAGTGCAATGGACACTATTAATTTCACAAAAGGGTGGAAATGAAATAAAGCAATACAGATAAAACATTCAAAATTAAAAAGCTCAAGAGAAGGGTAATGAAAACAGTAACATAGAAGAGCAGATACCCCCTCTCTCAAAAAACAAAACAAAACCGGATGTGATGTGCCAGAGATAATACATTTGGAGTTCATTCCACCAGCTCAGACTGTTAATCAAGCTTTCTATCTAGAGCTTCTGAACAGATTGCATAACGGTGTGTGACAAAAAAGGCCAGATTTGTGGTAGACAAGTAGCCTTCTCAGTGCACCAGTTTTTGGCAAAAAAAAAAAAACAACCCCAGCATGCTTCTCTTGCCCCACACACCTTACTCACCTGGTCTTGATCACTGCAACGTCTTTTTGTTTCCACGAATAAAGAGGGACATGAAAGGGCAGCGATTTGACATAGAAGAGGTGAAGAAAAAAAAACGAGAGGTGCAGAAAAAAATGAGGGAGGTATTGTCAACCATCCAAACAGAGGATGGAATCACAGGTGTGACAAATGTATTAAGTGTAATGGAGAGTACTTATCAGGTGATAACATTTTAAAAAATATTTAAATACCTAGCTTTGAAAAAAAATCACTTTGAGGGGGGGTGCCCCCTCGTATAAGGAACCCTTTATCTGCCATTGACTACAGAAGACTAATGAAGTATCTGAGGGAACGCAAAGGAGACAATGAAAGGGTAATATTGTAGGACTAAACCACATACTACTCAGTTAAAGGTACGGTATGTTTTCTAGTTTCAATTTCAAAATGAAGACCAAGACAAAACAGGTGACCAAAGCTACTAGAGGACCTGGAAAGAAATCCTCTGATTCAAATTCCTACCTTGTTAGAAATTTAACTCTTCCAAGTAACAAAACAAAACAAAAAAGAGCTAAGACTTCATTTTGAGAAGGAAGGAAGAGCTTGATCAATGACAATG